ATGCTCGCCAGACAGAGAGAGACAGAGAGACAGAAAGCGAGAAATCACCTCCCAGGGGGGATGGCCACGCCGCAATCCCCTCTCCTCCATTCTCCTCTCGGGATCTTGGGCACGCACACACACGCGACCGGCGTGAGTTTAAGCCACAGGGTCCAGGACTCGAACCACAGTTGACTATGTGGGAGTCCAGCGACATAGCCATTACACTAACTGCTGATCCCATCAACATCACCCATTTTTAATTCTCTCTTTTATTGCTTGGGAATAAAGATTAACCACTCAGAAGTCAGACAACCAGCTCTCAAGTTGCAAAATAGTATGTACACACATACCTGCAAATGTTTCTTTTTGTACAATGTGGTCAAAAGTATCATTTTTTTTCCTTTTTGTTTTTGCATTTTGTATTGTATTTGGAAAGTTTTCTTCATTTTCAGGTTATAAAAAAATCACATATGTTTTCCTATAGTAGGTGTACTGTTTTATGTTTTACATCTAAATTTCTGCTCCATTTGAAATTTGCTTTTTGTTGTATGGTGAGAGGAACTGCATGTTTTTGGATTTTCTATTCTGCTCCCTTGGCCTGTCTACTAACGCTCTAGTTGATTCAGTTCTATTGTTTAAGACTGTCCTTTCTTCATCTAATTGTTTTTACTTTCTTTCTTTCTTTCTCTCTCTCTCTTTTTTTGCTACAGGGTACGTGTGCTCACGAAAGAGAGAGAGAGAGAGAGAGAGAGAGAGAGCCACTGGCCCTTACTTGTCTATCTTGATATGAATACCACACTGTTTGATTTACCATAGCTTTATGGTAATTCTATGTTCATAAGGAATATTGGTTTGTAGTTTATTTTTCCTGTAATGTCTTTATCTGGCTTTAGTATCAGAGCAACACTGGCCTCATAATTGATTAGGAAGCACTGCCTTGCTTTCTATTTATTTTCTGGAAGAATTTCTAAATAATTATTAGTATTTCAGTGTATGTGATAAGTCCCCAAAATATATGGTTATTATATTTGCTTTGAATAGTTATGTTTGATATAGATTGAAACAATAAAAAAAATTCCTGGGGCCAGTCCCATAGCTTAGAAGTTAAGTGAGTTAGGTCTTACATGACTGAACATGGTTTGAATCCCGGCCCTAGAGACTTGAAAATAACATGCTGAGGACATGTGCTTACGTGTTCTAAATCCCAAAGGGATGAAGAAATGGAGAAGGAATTGCAGCATGACCATGCTCCAGTGGAGGGTGCTTTCTCTCTATTTCTCTGTCTCTCTGGCAAGCATGTATCCTTTGGAAACTAAAATTAAATTTTTTTTACATTTACCCACAATGTACTATTTCTGATATTCTAAATTTTATTTATCTAGATTTTTATCTAGTATCATTTTACTTCTGCCTGAAAGACATTAACGTTTCTTACAGTGCAGTTCTGTTGATGATTTTTTTTTTCAGCTTTTGTATGTCTGATACTTTTTCTTTTTAACTTCATTTTAAAAATTGTGGTAAAATACACATAACACAAAATTTATCATCTTAAACATTTTGTTATGTATAGTTCAGTGATAGGAGGTAAATTCACATTACTGCATAATCATCACTACCATCCATCTCTAGAACACTTCCCATCTAGCCGAAGTGAAAATAAATATGAATACTTCACAGATTTGCAGGCCATCCTTGCACAGGGTCCATGCTAACCTCCTCTGTATGTTTTCACTTTTAGTACATATGTGTTGAACTGAGAACTTAACTTCACGTTTGAAAGATATTTTTGCTGGATAAAAATTCTAGGTTGATGGGACTAGCAGTTGGCATAATGGCTATGTCACTGGACTCCCATGTAGTCGACCACAGTTCGAGTCCCAGACCTGGTGGCTTAAAGATATAGTATCACGGGCACATGTGCGTGCATACCCAAGACTCCGAGAGGAGAATGGAGGAGAAGGGATTGCCGTGTGACCATTTGCCCTGGGGCGGGGGGTGGTGATTTCTCACTTTCTGTCTCTCTGTCTCTCTCTGTCTTTCTGGTGTGTGCACGTGCCCTATAGCAAAAACCTCTTCCCCCCAAAAAAAATTCTAGGTTGACTGTTAAATGTAGTTTCAATGGTTTTCTTTCTTAATTAAAAAAAAATTCATTTATGTATTTATTTATTTTTAAGAGCGATTTTTTGCCATAGGGCATATATACTCACTGGAGAGAAGACAGAAAACAAAAAATTACCCACCTGGAGGGATGGGCATGCCACAGATCCCTTCTCCTCCAATCTCCTCTTGGGATTTTGGGCACACATGCCCATGTGCCTGGCACGAGTTTTTTAAATTGCCAGGTCTGGGACTCAAACCATGGTTGACTACCTGGAAGTCCAGGAATATAACCCTTATGCCAATCTGCTGTTCTCTATTTATTTATTTTTTTAGAGAGATTTTTGCTATAAGGTGCATATGTTCATTGGACTGTTCTCTATTTATTTATTTTTTTTAGAGAGATTTTTGCTATAAGGTGCATATGTTCATTGGAGAGACAGAGAGAGAGACTGAGGGTCAGAAAGCAAGAAATTCCGCTCCCAGGGGGATGGTCATGCCACAATCCCTTCTCCATTCTCCTCTTGAAATTTTGGGCATGCACACACACACATACACCCAGTGTGGATTTCAAGCCTTTGAGTCTGGGACTCAAACTTCTGTCCACCATGTGGGAGTCAGCGAAGTAACCATTATGCCACCTGTTGGTACCTTTATTATTTTTTTTAATGCTTTAAAGGTTTTCATCACTGTCTTCTGGCTTGCATTGTTTTCAATGAGAAATCTGGTGTCTTATTTATCTTTGTTCCTGTGTATCTAACGTTTTCTTTTTGTCTGGTTGTTTAAAGATAATTTTATTACTGGTTTTCATACTTTTGTTATACTGTATTCTGGTGTAGTTTTCATCATGTTTCTTGAACTTTTTAGATCTATGGACTAACAGTTTTCATCTTATTTGGAGTATGTGTGATCATTATTTCTTCAAATATTCTTTCTGGCCTCTCTTCCATTCAAGTCTCCAATATATGTATTTACTAGATCACTTGCATTTTCCCACAGGTGACTGATGTTCTGTGTCTTTTTTTTCAGTCTTATCTCTCTGTGTGCCATTAGGATAGTTTATGGTGCTGTGTCTTTAAATTCATTAATCATTTTCTTTTAATGTCTTATCTGCCATTATTCTTACCCGGCCTATTTTTCATCCCACACATTGAAGCTTTCATCTCTAAAAGTTCAATACAGAGCTTTATAATTTTTCTATGCATCTAATTCACATATTTAATCTTTTCTCAGCTTCTTGAACATATGGAGTATACTTTTAATAACTTTAAATTCCTTGTGTACTATTCCTGTGTATCTAACGTTTTCTTTTTGTCTGGTTGTTTAAAGATAATTTTATTACTGGTTTTCATACTTTTGTTATACTGTATTCTGGTGTAGTTTTCATCATGTTTCTTGAACTTTTTAGATCTATGGACTAACAGTTTTCATCTTATTTGGAGTATGTGTGATCATTATTTCTTCAAATATTCTTTCTGGCCTCTCTTCCATTCAAGTCTCCAATATATGTATTTACTAGATCACTTGCATTTTCCCACAGGTGACTGATGTTCTGTGTCTTTTTTTTCAGTCTTATCTCTCTGTGTGCCATTAGGATAGTTTATGGTGCTGTGTCTTTAAATTCATTAATCATTTTCTTTTAATGTCTTATCTGCCATTATTCTTACCCGGCCTATTTTTCATCCCACACATTGAAGCTTTCATCTCTAAAAGTTCAATACAGAGCTTTATAATTTTTCTATGCATCTAATTCACATATTTAATCTTTTCTCAGCTTCTTGAACATATGGAGTATACTTTTAATAACTTTAAATTCCTTGTGTACTAATTCTATCATCTGTCTTTTCTGGTTAGGCTTCTAATGACCGATCTTTTCATTATAAATAATATTTTCATGCCATTTTTATGCTTTTAATTTTTTATTAGATACCAGACATTGTGAATTTTATTTCTTTGGGTATTGGGTATTTCGTATTTCTATAAATAAGCTATTGTGGGCCATGGTTAAATGAACTGGAAACAGGTTGATCTTTTCTTGTCTCATACTTAATCTTCGTGAGGCAGGAGGACCACAGAATCATTTGGGCTAGGCTGATTCTTTTCCCTTTACTGAGGTAGAATTCTGCATGCTATACCAGATGCCTCATGAATTATGAGGTATTTCACTGAGGTGGCTAGGACAGGTATTATTCTTGGCCTTGTATGAACTCTAGGAATTTTTCTCCCAAGGCCTCAGGTAGCTTCCTCATGTATGTCCATGTTTTATATTCCCTTATGTCTCATGGGAGATCTTCTGAAGATCTTGGAGATTCTCTCCTTGTGAAACTATTTGCTCTTTGGTGCTCTTCCCTAAAAACACTAACCACCTTGACCGCCGAGAACTTTCGGCTCCTTATCAACCTAGTAAATCCTTCAAGCTCCACCTGATTTCTCCCATCCTGCATGGTGGCCTTGAAGCTTTCTCAGAGGTACTCAGGGCAGTCTCAGGTCTCAGATAATTTGTTTCCATCTCTCAAGGATCACTATTCTTTGTTGTTGATGTCCAATGTCTTGTCTACCATTGTTTTGAAGAGTTTGCCCAGATTTTTAGTGAGATAATAAATCCCCTCTCCATCACTACTTTGGTAGAAGTTGCACTAAGTATTTAATTTTATTTTGTTATTGCATATCTTCTAACTGACTTTTGTTTTTAGAATGAGGGTTATTGATTTCTGTTTGTTGATTTTGTAGTTTGTTATGTTATTCAATTATATTATTGTGTAATAGCTTAATGCTGATTATATTAAGTTTTCTAGAAGCCTTATGTCTGGAAAAAAGAAAATAGTTTTCCCATTTTCTTTCTGATTCTTTGTTGTCTTTGTTGTTTTATCCTTCTAAAAGCATTGACTAATATTTTAACACAATGTTAAATAACATCAGAAATGATGAGCATGAGTTTGAAGATTGCACGGATATTCCACCAGTTCTATCTTTTTCAGATGTCCCTATTAAAACCCTCAGTCTTCTATTCTGAAATGGCCCAGTTGTCATTCCTATGCCTCCTGCACAGCTATCATCTTGGGGTCTCCAATCCACTAGCCCTAATGCCCATTCTTATGTTTACTTTCTTTCCCCCCATTTTGATAAAGCAGAGAGGGAGGGTGCATGGAAGGCAGTTCTTGGAAATCTTGCAAAGTCCATAGATTGACTGGGTATAGAACTTTAGTTTGGAAATAATTTTTCCTAAGAATTTTGAAGGCACTATTTTTGTCCTCCAGTGTCCAATGTCAACATCACATGCTGATCTCATTCACAATGCATCACGTATAACCTACTTTTTGTTTTCAATGACTAAAGATTATACGATCTTCTTTTTGTCCCCAAAGACTGCCTACCATTCTTTTTTGTTTTTCCATGGCCCTAAGATGACAAAATTTTAAAAATTCAAAGATTCTATTAAAGTATGCTTCTATAGTTCTGTGGCTCTGTTAGAGTAAATGACCATATTGTTTATTGAAGAAAAATTATAATAATTAATTCATTAACATAAATAGATTAATTTTTAAAAAGAAAAAAAGAGCCATACTCCAGGATTTTCATTAATGGCTGCTGTTTAGAGCTCTTCAGGCTTTGTCTTCAGCCATGATTGTATTAGAATCAAATTCAAGAATGTACAGGACTTACAGAAATGGAGAACAACAAAAAAATCTTGTAGGAGAGATTTTTACTATCGGTCACATGTGCTCACTGGAGAAACAGAAAGACAAAGAGAAAGAGTGAAAAATCCCCCCCACAGCCCCCCCCCCATCCCCCAGTGGGTGATGGCTATGCCGCAATCTCCTCTCTTCCATTTTCCTCCTAGGACTTTGGGCACACACGCACAGGCACCCAGTGTGAGTTTCAAGCCAATGGGTCTGGGACTTAATCCACAGTTGGCTATATGGGAGTCCAGCGCCATAACCACTCTGCCACCTGCCATATGAGAGTCCAGCGCCATAACCACCCTGCCACCTGCTGGCCTCAAGAACAAACTTTAAGAAATATAAGAATTACATATTTTCCATCCAAAAATGTGGTTCTTACAATATTCTGCCTGAGTAATTGTATCATTCATATCATTTGGAAATCTATGTCTTTAAGATTATATTGGGACGAGCAGATGGTGTACTGGTTATGTTGCTATACTCCCACATAGTCAACCACAGTTCAAATCCTGAACCTGGCAGCTTAAAATTCACTCTGGACATGTGTGCGTACATGTCCAAGTCCTGAGAAGAGAATGGAGAAGGGACTGTGGTGTGGCCATCCCCTGCGGGGTGATTTCTCACTTTCTGTCTCTCTGCGAAGCACACACATCCTGTAACAAAAATCTCCTACAAAACAAAAAAAGATTATATTGAATTTACTTGGTTGTACTATTGTAAATACTGATAATATACATGAATATAATAATTTTTGTATAGCAAGCACTTTTCTGAGTTTTACATTTTTAGACTTATTAACTGATAAGCCTCACAACATATCAATGAAATGGATATTGTTATTATCCCTATTTTACACATGATGAAGTTGAGGCCTAGAGAATTTAAGAAATTTGTTAAGGGGCCAGCAGGTGGCCTGGTGGTTAAGGAGCTGGAATTCCCACATGGCCAACAGTGGTTCGAGTCCCAGACCTGAAGGCTTGCTTTCTCACCCTCCCTACCTCTCTCTCTCTGGCAAAACTCATGTGAAAAAATAAATAAATAAGATAAATAATTTTTTTTGGGGGGGAAGATGTTTTTGCTATAGGGATTGCACGTTCACCAGAAAGACAGAGAGAGAGAGACAGAAAATGAGAAATCACCCCCCAGGGGGGATGGCCACACTTCAGTCTCCTCTCCTCCATTCTCCTCTCAGGACCTTGGGCATGCACACACACGCACCTGGATTGAGTTTAAGCCACTGGGTCTGGGACTCAAACCACGGTCGACTATATGGGAGTCCAGCGACATAGCCATTATGACAACTGCTGGTCCCAAAATAAAGAATTCTTTAAAAAAAGAAAAGGAACTTGTTAAGATCACCTAGTTTGTAAGTGGCAGAACTAAAAGTTGAACCCAGGTCACCTGTCCCTGGATGAGATTCTTTTACCCAGTGTACCTTCAAGACTGTGTAATAGGCCTCTGAAAGCTGTAAGATTCTAAAAGGCTAGGTGTGTGTTGCATATATTTCACTCGGCTCCTTCATTCTGCCTTCTCTAGAGCCCCATAATCTATCCTTAACACAAAGGCTAAGAGAGAGGGAGCTCTGGGCTGGGCTCCTGGGAGTTGTGATTATCTTAGAACATCCAGGATCTGCACTTACCACGCACAAACATCTGGATGCCTCGTCCAGACTTAAACTCCGTGTCCCCTGAAGCCTCTTTCCTGAACTTCACACAGTAGTATGTGCCGGCGTCTGTGGGGGTGATGTTACTGATGCGGATGGAAAAGTCCGTGTTGTTTCTCTTAGTGGTGTCTGCCACGGGTGTTACCCGGTGGAAGTGGCCTCCTCGGAAACTGTAGATCAACTGCCGGTCTGGCCTTTCCCCCCTGAACCACTGGATGGGCCCGACGGGAAGCAGAGAGGTCAGGGTGCAGTGCAGAGTGGCCGACTCCCCAGCAGACAACACCAATGACTTCTCAGGCTGAATCACCTTCGGCTCCTCGCCTGCCACTCCTGGAAGGAAACAAGTCAGCTCCAAGTCCTCTGACCTGGCCCAGCTGGGATAAGGCTGGGGACCAGATGCCTGGGTTCAGATGGCAGTTGAAATCCCATGAGCGCTTCCTTTCCACATTACATGTTGGCGGATGGACAAATTGCTGAACTGGGTGCTGAGAGCAACACAGAGACAAGACGGACAGTCTGTATGAAAGGACAGAGCCAGGGAACTCACAAGAGACGAAACAGTCTCTGAAAAGATGTTCAACACACCCAGTGAACCAGTGAATTACATATTTAAACCAGAAGCAAAATGCTAACGTCCATACCAGAATAGCAGGAAAAGTTGAATGAAACACAAAACAAAAACGAAATGCAGCTATTAGTAAATGAATTGGTAAAAGCACATTTCCAGATGCAGTAAGATCAATGGGTTGGAACTGAGGCGGTGAGAGAGGCCGGTGAGGCAGAGGGAGAGCCTAGGATGGGGCCCACGGAGTCATGCAGATTTACTATATGATGGTGGTGGCATTTGATGTTCATGGCAGAAAGCTCTCTGGGAGAAAACAAATGTAACTCTTCAAAAGTGGCTGCTCCCAGTGGGTGGGATCTGTAAGGGGACTTTCATTGTTTACTTGCACATTTTTTCCTTGTTTGGGTTATTTGACACAAGCCTATAATGCAGTAAAAATAAAATAAAATGAAATGAAATGAAATATTTCTCCCTGCTGTAAGCTAAGAGTGCACACAATTTTTAGAATGTTAGCGTGGCAAAAATGAGGACGATTGCCAAACTTCAGTGTTGCCAAGGGTGTGGCGAAGCAGGCGCTCCCTCTCACAGACTGCAGGTGGTGACATAAATGGACACGATCTTTCTAGAGAGCAATCGAGCATTTTAGTCAAGACCTTGCGTTACATGGACACTTGATAAGCCCAAGTTTATAACAAGGAGAGGAGAAAAAGTTTAACCAAATCTGTTCTTGTCCCAAATGTCCCCCTGTTCATTTTTGGTGTTCTGTGATATGTATTATTCACATTAAGATGCTCTTTTTTTTTTTTTTCAATTGGGAAATTCTAGGGGTGTTTTTTGGAGAAATTTTTGCTATAGGGTGCGTGTATTCACCAGAGAGACAGAGAGAAAGTGAGAAGTCATCTCCCATAGGGAGACGGTCATGCCATAATCCCCTCTCCTCCATTCTCCTATTAGGATTTTGGGTACACATGTGTACACATCTGACATGAGTTTTAAGCCACCAGGTCTGGGACTCAAACCATGACTGGCCATGTAAGAGTCCACAGCCTTAACCACTGTGCCACACACTGGCCCTGAAAAATTCTGTATTATTATTTTTTAAGAGATTTTTGCTGTAGGATGTGTGCACTCACCAGAGAGACAGAGACAGAGACAGAAAGTGAGAAATCACCCTCTGGGGGAATGGCCACATCACAATCCCTTCTCCTCTATTCTCCTCTCAGGTTTTGGGCATGCACGCACATGCACCTGGCTTGAGTTTCGAGCTGTTGGGTTAGAGACCTGAACTGTGGTTGGCCGTGTGGGAGTCCAGCAACGTGACCATTACGCCATCTGCTGGTCCTGAAATTCTGTATTTTAAGAGTCTTTGAAATGCATGTATATCCTTTGGCTTACTAATTCCTCTTCTAGGGATTTTTTCAAAAGAAATAATGAGACAAGAGTGAACTCATTTTGTAAAGGAGTGGTAATCATCATATTTGCAATACAGGAAAAATTGATTTCAAGCACATGTCTGAGAATAGGGAGTCAGTTAAGGACGTGATGTTCTAACACCAGTGGAAAACTATGTAGCTGTTAAAAGGTAACGTTGAAGTACATGTTGAGGTTATACATATCAACAATCATGTAGACACGTGTATATTGACCTGGAAAAAGGTCCCCAATAAAAGAGCAGATAAAATACCTTATTTAACATAATCCTATTTTTTCAACAAAAGTTCAATGTACATGGAAGCAGCATAATGAAGAGGATAAAACAAGGGCTTGTGGGATTCCTTTGACTGGATTCAAATGCTTCCTCTATTGCTTACTTGATGTTTGATTTTGAGAAAATGACTTAACCTTTCTGAGCCTGTTTTCTTACCTATGATATATATATATATATATATATACACATATAATGAGCAGAATAAGACTTCTCTTGCAGTTTTAGTTTTATTTGTATTATTACTTTTAATTTTATTTTTTTAGGTTTGTACCATAGGGCTCATGCATGCTGCAGAGAGACAGAGAGAGAGGGGAGGGGAAGTGAGAAATTACTCCCTGGGGGGATGGCCACACTGCATTCCCTTCTCCTCCATTCTCATCCTGAGATTTTGGGCATGCATGCACATGCACCCTGGGATGATTTTCAAGCCACCAGGTCCAGGATTTGAACCATGGTCAGCCATGTGGGAATCCAGTGCCTTAACCACCTTCTGTGCCTTGTATTATTATTTTTTAATTACAAAAAAAATTATCTATTTATTTTGGTGATATTGCTCTAGGGCATATGTACTCACCAGCGAGAAAGATAGAGAGAGAGGGAGAGAAAATCCCCCATGAGAAATGGCCATGCCACAATCTCTTCTTTTCCATTCTTCTGTCAGGATTTTGAGCACACACACACACACGCACACACACACACAAACACGCGCCTGTTGTGTTTTTTAAACCACCAGATCCTGGACTTGAACCGCACAGTCTGCCACATGGAATCCAGCCACCCTAAGCACCATGCTACTGGCTGGACCACTTTTCTTGTAGTTTTGTCATGAGACGGAAACCTAAAAATCATTGTGAAAGCTCAAGACTGTGCCTGGCTCATAGACGAACTTCTGCAAAAGGAACTTCCCCTGAAGACTGAGTCCAGCGGCTGGCTCCAGCCCTCACAGGCTTGCTGGTTTCGGGCAGCCCGCTCCCTTCATCTGCTTTGCTTCCTGTTTGTCAAGCATGATGAATCATTCCCATTTCCCGGGGCTGCTGTGAATTTTAAATGGTGACACATATTGCCAAGGACACAGAGTGGGTGCTGTAATGGCCATAGTCAGCACGACCATTTTTGTGTGTTCATGTTTGCATTTATCAAACTCTGGAAGGATATAACAGCCGGAGCTTACATAGGCACTTCTGTGCGCCAAGTATTACTTGAAACACTTAGCTATATGAACTAAAGCTTGTCTAATTTTTATCATAGCCCTTTTAGAAAGGTGTTGTTTCTTCCCATTTCACTGACAAGAAAACAGAGGTACAGAGAACTTTGGTAACTTGTCCACAGTCAAACAGCCTACAAGTGATGAAACGTGGCCTTAGAGCCTGGCAGACTGGGTGAAAGTTCTAGCAGTGCTTTTAACCTCTTCACCAGACAGCCCCCGACTGAGTTAACACTGCTGGGTGGAGGAGGGTGCCTCGCTTGTCGCCTGGGTCAACTTTGAGGGAAAGGTATAGACAGGCAGGAGAAAAGCCCACATTAAAACATAATCTAGGAGGGACCAGCAGTTAACGTAATGGCTATGTCGCTGAACTCCCATGTAGTCGACCATGGTTTGAGTCCTGGACTCAGTGGCTTAAACTCGCGCCAGGCGCGTGTGCATGCATGCCCAAGATCTCGAGAGGAGAATAGAGGAGAAGGGATTGCGGCGTGGCCATTCCCCCCAGGGGGTGATTTCTCGCTTTCTGTCTGTCTGTGTCTCTCTGTTTTTCTGACGAGTGCATGCACTCTATAGCAAAAACCTCTCAAAACAAACAAACAAACAAAACATAATCCTAGGAGAGACTTAATAGTCTATGAATCACCATTTACCAATATTTTAAATCATCTACATTGTGTGTATAGTACTTGTGACTCTCCTCCATCTCTCGTTCTGTCTCCATCCATCTTAATGAAGGCAGCCCTGCCTCCCAGGTGCAGGATTGAGAAGTCACGTGCCACACCTTTACCCCCTTCCTCTCATATGGCACCAGGTCTTGTGGTCAAGCCCAGTGGGTCACAGAGCCTTTGCAGATGTCAGGGCTGTGGGAGGGGTGGAGAGACTCGGAACCCTGTCACAGAGAAATTTCTGTTCTTAGGGCTAAGCCCTGTCTAGACTTGGGTGGGAGAAATAAGAAACAAGAATTCAGGAGGTATTTGTTTGGGGGTACTTGTTATAAAGGGTCTCTGCAGCCCCAGCTAATCGGATGACTGCCAAACTCAGGAGAGGATCCTTGCACCTGAGTGCCCAGTAGTGGAGGTGCTTACCTGTGAGTCCCAGCAGCAGAGGCAGCAGCACTGATGGCAGAGGCAGGTGGGGCTGGAAGGCAGGGGCTGGCATCGTGGGGGCCCCTGCAGCATGCCCTGTCTGAATGCCTGTCCTGAAGAGGAGTCAATTCTGTGCTCTGTCGAGAGGCAAAGCTTTGTCTTCTGTGATATAAGAGGAAATGAGTACAAGAGGAAAGGATTGTGGGATTGAGACAGTTCCTCTTCTAGATTGTGAAGTAGGGATCAGACGCTAGGTGTAGAATCACTGATATCAGGAGATAAGATGCTTGGGGAGTCCACGGCCTACTCCCTCTGCTCCCTGGGCCTCACTGCACATCAGGGGTGCTGGTGGCCCTTCCTCGTCCAAGAGAATGGGAACTGGTCTTCCATAGTGGAGGGTGCGTCCTGGCTGTTGATTATCTAAAACTGGGGCTAAGATGAGCTGTGCAGGTCAGGAAGGCTCTTGGGCCTGGGGACTCAGGGGGATGGAAACCTCTCCTTCCTTCTCCAGAGGTGTCAGTGGGAAAGTGAGCCTGAGGCCCTGTCTGATGGGACTACTGGATTTGCAGAGTAAGCTTTGGAGGGATAATTTCAGGTGAGCAATTAGTCTCGGAAGGGGGATGGCCTATCGGTTTGTCCCAGCCTGGGTTCAGGTCTGCAGAGAAGGGCGTGCAGGGGCTGGGAGAATGCACATCAAAAAAGTGTCTTTCTTCTGAGCAGAGACAGCCATCCTGCAAGATCAGGTCTGTAGTGTCTCAGCTGTGAGCTGTTCACTTCCATCGGCCCAGTGCCATACACTGCTGTCCGTTCTCTAAGGAAGTCACAGATAAGCTTTGACTGCTGTCACAGGCCGTATTTTCCTTTTCACTTTATTCTATGCGATGGTTGTTTTAGGTATCTACTTGACTGGACTAAGGAATACCAAGAAATCTGGTAGAGCATTATTCTGGGTGTGTCTGGAGGGTGTTTCCCAAAGAAATTAGCATCCAAATTTGAGTAAAGTAGGTGGGGGAAGACCCGCCCTCACTGTGGGGGGCACTGTCCAATCAACAAGGGCCCAGACAACAGACAGAGAAGATGGATGGTCTCCTTTGAGAGAGCAGGATAGACATCTGCTGCCTTGGACATCAGAACACAAAGGCCTACCTGCCTTGGACTCCAGGGTTCACACCAGTGCCCGCCCCCTTCAGAGACCACAGGGGTTCATTTTTGACAATTGTTCCCACCATACTGTGTCCTGCCTGACATAAAAACCTGAAGCAGCAGCCAGGGTGCAAACACGTACATCTCTCACTGCTGGTCTGGGCCTTATCTAGAAAAAAAAAGAGGTGGTTTCAACTATTTAAATATCTTGTACTACCTTGTTTGTTATCAGTATGGTTCTGTGAGAAGGGTTATTATTATTTCCATGAGAAAATTGAGGTTCAGAGATTTTAGGAAACTCTTATTTATTTATTTTGCCATAGAGTGCATGGGCTCACCAGAGAGAGACAGAAAGAGGGAAAGTGAGAAATCAGCCCCCAGGGTTATGGCTATGCCTCAATCTCCTCTTCTCTACTCTTCCCCCCAGACCCTGGGCATTCACATGCACCCACTGCGCCCCTCAAGCCACCAGGTCTAGGACTAGAGCCACACAGCTGGTCCTGTGAGGTCTAGCCGTTCTAACCACCATGCAACAGACTGGCTTGATTTTAGGAAACTTTCTAAGTAATCAGCAAACCCACATTTTTGAATTCTACGTTTATTTTTTGCTGCTCCTCTAGATCAAGAAAGACTAGAATATCCAGGTAGCTAGGACACCCAGAGTTTGGAGATGAAGAGAACACCACCACATCAAGACACAGAAGTATATGTCTACACGTATACTTAGTTAAGTGGAGTATAGATGTGTTCCTGGTGGGAGAATTTCAAGGCACGACCTGGGCTAAATCAGGAAATGAAGAAAAACTAAAAAGATCTCCTGGCAAGAAACCATTAAGGGCATCCAAGGAAACAGAGAATCCCTTGCTTGGCAAGAGTCTCAAATGTTATCTAGTCTTTTCACCACCCACAAATCCACTTGTGGATAGAGAAGACCTTAAAAGGGTGTGCAACAAATCACAAATAAGAAATCTCTCTGGGAGTTGAATTGGATGTATTTGACTTTCAACTGACATTTACACAATTTTAGATTGTGTGTGTGCTTGTGTGTGTGTGTGTGTGAGGGAGAGAGAGAGAGAGAGTGAGAAAGGGAGAGTACGCTTTGCTTTCTTAATTTAAAATTCCATAAATGTGAAAAGAAAGGTTTTTTTCTTTCTTTTTTTTAAAGAATTATTTAATTTTTAAATTTATTCATCCATTTAATATTTTAATTCGACCAGAGAAAGTGAGAAAGCAAGCCACCAGGTCCAGGACTTGAACCGTAGTCGGCCATGTGGGAATGTCCAGTGCCTTAACTACCACGCCACCTGCTGGTCCCTTGAGAGGTTTTTGCTGTAGGGCACATGCGCTCGCCAGACAGAGAGAGAGACAGAGAGAGAGACAGAGAGAGAGAAAGTGAGAAATCACCCCCCGGGGGGATGGCCATGTCGCAATCCCTTCTCCTCCATTCTCCTCTTGGGATCTTGGGCACGCACGCACACGCGCCCGGCGTGAGTTTTAAGCCACTGGGTCCGGGATGCGAACCACGGTTGACTACGTGGGAGTCCAGTGACATAGCCATTACGCTAACTGCTGGTCCCGAAAAGAAAGTTTTAAGAAAAGGTGATAACACCTTCTTAAATAAGTTACAGAGACCTTGCCATTGGCTCCATCTTGGACTTGTCCGGTCTAAGAGCAGAGACCAAAAATGTTTTAGCAGTGACCTCCTGCCCTGTTCCTGGCAGGAGAGCATGGTGTCTTCCATTTGGCCAGTTTTTTTCACCAGGATTGAGCTTCTCATGTTGTATAAGCCATCTCTTTCCTTGTTGGGGGTCAGGGTCTCCTCTAGCTGAGAGACATTTCCATTCTCCAGCCAGGTCAGCTGCACATCCTGGGAATGGAACTTGTTTGCCTTGCAGGTGATATTCATCTTGTTATTTAAAATGGACTGTTGGAAAATAGACACAGCAGGTGAAACTGAAATAGCATAGAACAAATGCTCAGACATCACGAAATAATCAGATCCATTTTGCCTATTAGTTCGTGGCCATCACTTAGCATCTACCTACCACATGATAGTCTCTAGTACAAAGTAGGTGCTCAAGAGTCGGAAGGCCTTATTATTTAGACCTAGTCCCTGAAGCAAATTTGGAGAGAATTGTGCTCCAAAGCAAGTGAAAGCCTGGCCATGGGTGATGTCACTTACCTACCACAGTCTCAGACAAATCAGCATTCTCATGGAGAGGGTAATGCAAGTTTGAGTGGTTCACATTGCAGCTGACATGGGAGTTGAAGTCCTTTGGAGTCAGGATCACCTTAGTGGCACTGGACATTTTGTAGGCATTGCTATTCAGCTGAACCACCTGGGTGTGGAGGGATGAGGTTCCTTCCCATTTTTGAACCATTTCAGGGTAATTTTAAAAAAAATCTGTTTTGTTTTATTTATTATTTTTATTTTGTTATAGGGCATGTGCACTCACGAGAGAGAGAGAGAGAGATCTGCCAGGTCTGGACTCAACTGCTCCATGTAGGAGTCCAGCACCTTAACTACCATGGCACCTTGCTGGCCCCTTCAGGGTGCTGTTTTGGGGAAAGAAAACATAGGAAATGCAACTGAAATTCACAGCCTGCCCAAGTAGGGCCCTCTCCAAAGGGTCTATTACCGCAGGCAGAGAGGTGGAGCTACAAGGAGAAAAGGTAATACACAATTAGTGTTGTGAGCAAGACAGCATTAAATGTGCTTTATAGAATTTTAATTTTAACAGCTCTGTAATTAGGTATGATAAAGTCCATTTTATAGATAAAGGAAGAGTGGCAGAGGTAAGGAACATACTATAAGTGACAGAGCCAGGACCGAATCTCAGATTTAATGGACCAAATAATCTATAATCTTTCTTCAGGTCACTTCTTTTTCATCAATTATATATGATTAGTATTTTCACTGTGTCACTTACTTCTACTCCCTGTTCTCATTTAATAAGGTATAGACAGCTGGGAATGGAAAGGATTTTTTTGTTTGTTTGCTTGTTTTTGCCACAGGACATGTGTATTTGCTAGGGAGAGACACAGAAGGAGGGAAAGTGAGAAATCACCCCCTAGGTGGGATGGCCATGTTGTAATCCCTTCTCCTCCACCCTCCTTTTGGGATTTTTGGTATGCACACACATGTGCTCAGTATGATTTTGACCTCGGTAGGCTAGTGTCTTAACCACCACACCACCTGTTGGCCCTTAGGAAGGAACTTTCTTAACCTGATATCTATCTACCCAAATCCTAAAACAACATACCTTCTTTAATGTGTGTAGCCTTGTAAGAATGTCTTTCATATTTATCAACAGAATATCCACTCTCACTGTATCTATTCCACAATGTACTAGAAATCATGGCTAATGCAATGAGACAAGAAAAAGTCATGAATAAATAAAGCTGGGAAGAAAGAAAAAAATGTAATATAAACTTACACAGAGAATCCAAGTGAATCTGCCAACTAATAGACTGATCAATTAAAAAACTCACAAATACAGGAGAATTCAAAGAACAGTGAAAAAAGGCGGTCAGTCAATGTGGTGTTTCAGATAACTACCTTTTTACAAGGAAAATTTTTTTACCTTTTTTTTTTTTTTTGAGAGGTTTTTTCGCTATAGGGCGCGTGCGCTCACCAGACAGACAGAGGGAGACATAGAGAGAGAAAGCGAGAAATCACCCCCCAAGGGGGATGGTCACGCTGCAATCCCTTCTCCTCCATTCTCCTCTCGGGATCCTGGGCATGCATGCACACGCGCCCGGCGTGAGTTTTAAGCCACCGGCTCCTGGACGTGAACCGCAGTCGACTACGTGGGAGTCCAGCGACATAGCCATTACACTAACTGCTGGTTCCCAAGGAAAATTTTAAAAAATGATTATAACTGCTCATTAAGTACAGAAATAAATTGCAAACAGATTAAATTCTTAATTCTAAAATTTAAAAAACTATGAGAAAAAAGAATATCTGTACATTTTTGGGGTGACAATGAACTTTATGATAAGGTCTAAAAACGCAA